TGCAGCTAAACTGACTTGGCAGAGTGTTGGAACATCTTACAGCATCAGATTTTGATCTACTGGAGAATTTGACGGAACGGACGGTGTCCTTCTAGCGGTCGCGTGGTCTGTTGCGAGGTCGTCTCCAGTCTGTAGATGGCGGGTTGAATTAGTAGATAACTCTTGGTTGGGTGACCCTCAGGCCGTCGCAGAACGTGACCGAGCCATCGAACACGGCTCTGAACGATGGTACGGAGAATGTTTAACTGACATGTCCTCTAGCGAAATTCTTCGTTGGACACAAGATCCAACCAGGGTACCTCGATGGGTTGAACCCTAGAAAACAATTCCGTTTTACTTCGGTTAGATCTGGCTATCACTATGAGAAAACCAATATAGCCGTATTCTTTGATAATGTTGCAGCTTAGTTTCAAAAGCTTCCAAATGGAAATTTTTGCAAACGGAGAAAATGATTTTTGCAAGTCATCTAATCTGAAGAACAAACAAAAATTAATTTCTTTGCAAAACATTGGGTTTGGGCGTTTTTTAGCAACTTAAGAAGATTCACGACTTGCAAATATATTTTGGAAATTGGATAATTGCCAAAATATTTTATGAAAATAACTGGAAATATAATTTTTTAACTGCAGGTTAAGTAATTCTACCACCAACCAACATAAATAACGATGAATTATTCAAGCAACTAGCCATAGAATAATTTGAAAAAATGACTAGAAGAATTTGCGATATATATATGGGGGTGGAGTCTTCCATGGATTTTAACATATAAGGGCCCAACAACTCAGTTTTATAACCGAACCGCCAGATTAGGCACGCATATGATTTGATTATTGAAGTGAAGGCTTGTCTAGAAATCGGCTAGACTTTACGGAAGAACTGATAACAGAAAAATGATGCACAGTGTGCAAGGAAATCTCCAAACGGTTTTAAATTTCCTTCTACTAAACTGGTTTTCAACCAAGGATAAAAATTCCAGTCTAACCAGGTATTTAACGTCTAGGTGAGTCGAGAAAAAATGAATTCATGCCTTTCCCAAAGAGATTTGTGCGAAAGTGACCGCAACGACCTCTGTTGGAATTTAAACTCATACCGATCCCGACTTACAACCCAATAAGTACTACTCCCCTTTCTCTCTCTCTCTCTTTCTCTCTCTCTCTCTCTCTCTCTCTATATATATATATATATATATATTATGTACCCACTACAAAGCTGTAAATCTTGTTTCAACGTTAATAAATTAACGTTTCTTCAGGTGGGAAATCACGATGCTACTAAAATATTTTATTCCGAAATACAGTTAACAAATCACATCTTCCACTTCCTTCTTTGTAAAATTTCCCATAAAAGGTAAAAAGAATTTACATATGTTTCTTTTCATGTATTAATACTGATTTTCTGCAGTTCATAATAATGTTAATTTCTTTTTTTCTTTTTTTTTTTTGCAACCTTTACTTCCTTTTCTTCGCCTTTTTCCTCTTAATTCTCTTCTCTCTCTCTCTCTCTCTCTCTCTCTCTCTCGCTCGCGCTGTTACAAATCACTTAGCTACCTTTCTTTCTCCATATGTAAATCCTTTCAATGTTCAGTTTTATATTTTTATATTTACATATGCTCTATCTATGATATTGAGCACTTTATCCCATAAATATAGCACACCTTAAAACTATATTTCTTCTTATATATATATATATATATATATATATATATATATATATATAATATATATATATATATTAAAGTTAATAATCAGAGTTGAATTAGACCAGGAAGCAGTAGTATTAAAAAAGTAAAAATTCAGAAAGGTTGAAACCAAGGTAGCGGAATCGGTTGATTTCCTAATTATATATATATTATATTTATACGTTGTTTTTATGAATTTATGAGAAATTTTCAGGAATCAAACCTGTATCCTATACGGAAGCGTCATATAGCCCGATACAGGTTCGATTCCTGTCGAAGGATGCATATTTTCTATGAACATTTCTCGGACATTCAGGCCGGTAAATGTTGTTAATACTGTTTATTATAAACAGAGCATTTAGTCAAATATTTGTATCTATAAATTGAACGTATAAACATAAAAAATGTTTTAAATAATTATTGGACTTTGTCCATTTCATAATGTATGACGTTTTTTGTTTACATTTGGATACGCATTAAGCAGATATGAATGAATGAGAGAAAATCATGGAGAATTGCGTTTAAAAACAGTAAAATCGACCTTGCTAACTGAACGCTCCTCCGTGGCCCAATCGATAAAGACACGTCAGGCTATATGACGGTTCCGTATAGGATACAGGTTCGATTCCTGTCGGAGGACATATTTTCTATGAAAATCTTTCGGACATTCAGGCCGGTAAATGTTGTTTAATACTGTTTATTATAAACAGAGCATTTACTTAAATATTTGTATCTACAAAAAGAACGTATAAACATAAAAAATGTCTTAAATAATTGTCGGACTTTGTCCATTTCATAATGTATACACACACACACACATATATATATATATCCATCCTCTTGTGATGGAAATATTAACCAAATATCACTGATCACAATTGTGATGGAAATATTAACCAAATATCACTGATCACAATTACTAATTTAGTGAGCTCCATTCTGACTCTCACACACATTTATAATCTCTTACTGTCTGCGATAACATTTTCGAACCTACTACTCGCCGCTGTCGTCTCCAGATGCTTCATGACGATTGTAAGTTTGGATCTATAGTAAGGAATTTGATATTTTACCCGCTTAGTGCAAAAAATACGAGGGGTTGTCATTTCTTTTAGAGTCATTTTTTACTTCACGTGGGGGGTCTTTTTCATGAAGGATTTATTTCTTGAACGTAATGTGCCACCCAATACGTTTTTTTAGCCTTTTCTTTTCTTTTCTTTTCTTTTCAAGACCGACGTTTCTTCGGAATGAGCCGAATTCAAGGCGTAGTCGCATGTTTTTCATTCTTTACCAAAAGAAACAATCGGTGACATCACAGGAAAAAATAACTTTCATAAAACATTTATGAATGGTTTTACAAACGGCGACCTAAATCTGTTGTCTGTTACGAACAACGTTCATTATGAATCTAGTTTTACAAATATTGTGATGAGTCAAAAACGGGTTCTTTGTTGGTATTTCTCGCTATCTGTATGTCTATCTCTCTAACTGTCCTTTTTCTCTTTGTTTCTCTTTAAATAAGAAGTAATCAGGCAATTTTTCGCCCAAAATATTTTTGCAAAAAATGAAAGACATTATTACTTTATTACTAAGTTTATTTTATTATTGTTGTTTTTATAAAAAAAAAACATTCACGTGACAAACTGCACGAAACGAACAAATAAAAACGTAGTTTCCGAAGATGTGAAAATTGTTTATTGCAGAATAATATAAAAATAACAAATACAGATGAAAACAAATAAGGGTAACCTTTGTATGAAAATCTTCAAAACCAGATTGGAGGAGAGTAAATAAGTTATGTATCCAGGACGCCCAACTGAAGACATTAAAATCTTGATTACTAATATAAAAATCCAGTCTAATCCTAGCTTTTATTTTAAGGAACGTCTCCTTTCATATCTCTTTTCCCTGATCACTAAAAAAAACTACTTATGTCTTCATTTATTATTGTTTATTAAACTTAGTGAAGTTTAATAATGATACATCATCAGACTTAAAAACGAATCAATGAGTGTAGAAAGAAGGGATTTCAAATGAACATAGCTGCTTAGTTGAATTGAAACTCAGTAAGAGAATGTCAGCTTCAATTTTTACCCGTAGTAAACACGTAACTATCTCAAACAAACGTAAGAATGATGGCGAAATGTCAGCAAGTAGATATTTTCCATTAAAATAACTGACATCTTATACTCGACTACTCACAAATGGGTGAAATATTTAATTGACTGAATTCCCAAGAATCTATTATTAAATTTACCATATTAAAGATTATTAAATCTCAAAAAATTAATAGATTTAAATCCTACAATCTCTTTGCCATAAACAGGTTCAGATCAAACAGTTCAAATCATTTTTATTATACATAAATACGGACTTTCTTTCTTTATCTGACCATTAACTCGTTTTACTTTTTTGTAACACTGTCTTGTCTAACACAAATTGAGTTGGATTCTTTTCTTTCGAAGATGCTGTCATTACTCAGGACCTGTCAGAAGAGAAATCTAACGAATGCGAAGCGACACACACTCAAGATTAACAGACTGACACAATGATAATCAAGATAATGATGTCAAAAAAATGAGAGGAAATGGTGCCAGTAATTAAAGCGATTCAGTTAAGGATGAAGATGATTAAAAAAAAAAGAATGAACATTCTTCTAAACAAACCAATGGACTTCCAAATTAACGCTAGGGAACCCCCGGGGCGGCCTCAATGGTTTTTCACAGCGACGTGGTCCTAATATTTTCTTTAACCCTTTAAGCCCTGACCACCACTTTACCGGTGGTAGAGAAAAATGACGTAATGCCCAGCCACCGGTTGAACGGTGCGTCAACACTTAAAACTATTTTTATATCTATCGTGAAACATTACATACCAATTATTTCCGAATTTTGTCTCAGAAGATCAGGAAGAAAGATTAAAATTGTTCAGGAACGCAGAGTTGATCATTGCGAAGTTTGACTCAGTAGGCAGAAGGGTTAAATTGTTCAGGAACGCAGGGCTCAAAGGGTAAAGCAATGCAAATTTAAAATAAAATTAAAACAAATTGCAAACAGAATACATGTAATTACAGCTCAACTAGCAGCCATACCCAGCTGGTCGATCAGAAAAAGCGTTCAATTAGAATGGAGCAAAAACAGCATCATGTTTAGATGTAACAGTCTATCTTCTTCAATTAATTTAAAGTACTATCATTAAAAAACATTTTCCATTTCTGCGAGTAATATTAGTAGAGATAGGAATAAAAATAGATAGATTGTTTTGTTTTTAATTATTTTCCTCGAATATCTTCTGCAATGATTAAAATGCAAACGAAAAAACTCTAATTCAAGTGATATTCGAAAAATATGTACAGACAGAAGAAAGAGATAGATAGATAGATAGATAGATAGATAGATAGATAGATAGATAGATAGATAGATAGATATGAACAGACTGAGAAGGATAGATAGATATGAACATAGATAGATAGATAGATAGATAGATAGATAGATAGATAGATAGATAGATAGATATGAACAGACTGAAATAGATAGATAGATAGATGAGATAGATAGATAGATAGATAGATAGATAGATAGATAGATAGATAGATAGATATAATGATATGAACAGACTGAGAAGGATAGATAGATATGAACAGACTGAGATAGATAGATAGATAGATAGATAGATAGATAGATAGATAGATAGATAGATAGATATGATGAATATGAACAGACTGAGATAGATAGATATAGATAGATAGATAGATAGAGATAGATAGATAGATAGATAGATAGATAGATAGATAGATGAACAGACTGAAAGGGATAGATAGATAGATAGATGAATAGATATGAACAGACTGAAAAGGATAGAAATGGATAGATAGATAGATAGATGAGATAGATAGATAGATAGATAGATAGATATAGATAGATAGATATGAACAGACTGAGAAGGATAGATAGATAGATAGATAGATACAGACTGAGATAGATAGATAGATAGATAGATAGATAGATAGATAGATAGATAGATAGATAGATAGATAGATAGGAGAGGGGCTCTGAAAGTAATACTCCCTTTTTATTATGTAGATCCAAGACGACTCCTTTCAAGAAATTATTATCATGAGAAATCTAAATGCCAAAGATGGAAATCTATGAGTCAGTGGGTTGGCAAGTACGGATTTGGATCACGCAATTTAGCGTAGAAAAATGAGTCCATTGGGACACAGTGAATGGCCAAGTGACCAACACCTGGTTTCAAGAATACCCAAAATCGCTTGTGGATATTGAAAATACCAGGAGGGGTACAAAAAATTATACAGACTACCAAATGATCAACACAAAATTAAGAAATGCAATTCTTCTCTAAATTTTATTCAAGTATTATAAGTATGAGCGACCACATCGTCATCATATGCAAACCTTTAAGGATAAAATTAAAAAGATAAAAAAAACACCGTGTAAACTACAATACATCAGACAATAAGGTGAATCTGTTTGCAAAGAGACGTACTCTGATACAGTCTAAATCTTAGTAGAGATAACAGGAAATATCTTAAAGGAATCACTTGTGACATCGGCGAACGAGCTTATCCTAAGACAGCAAAACAAGTGACTGATAGATTAAGAGATGGAAAATAGTATGAAGGTATAGCGCAATGTATAGGATGTGAAACAAAAACATTAGATACAAATTCAAGTAAGCAAAACATGAACGACTCAACGAGAAGTGTGAATAAATAGAAACATTGTGGAACATGGACATCGTAAGCATGCATAAAATGATTAAATAACAAGGCAAGTGACATGCTCCTCGACAGGATGTATAAAATCTAATAAAAGACCGTTCATAATAGAATAAGAAGAAATATTACAAAGATGGAACAAATACATTGAAGAACCCTCCCACTACAACTAGAATTAAAAGTATTGCCTCATTTACATATAAGCACACACACGCGCGCGCGCGCATATATATATATATATATATATATATATATATATATGTGTGTGTGTGTGTGTGTGTGTGTGTGTGTGTGTGTGTGTATATATAAATGAATATATATATGTATAATTTTTTTTTTATTATATAAGCGCGGTACTTATTAGAAAGCGCTCAATATCAGAGATAGAGCTATCACATCTAACCAACCAAATATATATATATATATATATATATATATATATATATATATATATATATAATATATATATAAAATATCGCACATATGCTGTTGGTAATAACACGTTGCTCGATTCAATATAACAGCGCTATTAAGTATATATTATAACACGATCTGTCCCTTAAAACGGTCAATGTATGACCGATAATATTGTATACCGAGCAAACATACATTCTGGTAACGATGTTACATTTCATTTTGGTTCCACGAAAATCCTTGGAAATTTTGTTTTTACCATCACCGAATGTAATTTAAAATACAAAAATACCACTGTTCTCTCCAGATAATTCTGGCAATTAAATAATGATATCAAGTCACCACAATCAAGTGGGATATTATTTCTAGAGCTAAGCCTTATAACGGTAAAGGAAATAAATACAACACTTAGAAAATATGATGTTAATCAAAAATATCAGAAATGCAATCAGGTAAAAGATGAATGCCTGGAAAAGAAATGCGCAGAGATAAAAACACTGTAGGTCATAGCAGGCAAAAGCATATAAGGATAAAAACATTATAGCCTGGAAAATAATGGGCTTTTGGAAAGGATGTATAAAATCTAGGAAGAGACAGTTCATAATAAAAAAAAAAAGAGATATTACACAGATGGAACAAAATATATTGAAGAACTCTTCCACTAGAAAAGAATAGAGAAACGTTGAATATCTGGAAGGATATGAAATATTAAAATCTGCACTGGCCAAGATGAGAAACAAAACAACCAAACCAGATGGGATTGTAATCGAGATGTTCTCAGCCGTAGACGATGTGGGGATTGACAAGGTTACTCATGACCATATGTTGGCTTATTAATTTATGGGTTCCATGCTTCTTGGTTTGTATATTTTTCTTCTGTTTTCATTTCTTTGGTTCTAAGTTTTGGTTCTTGACATAACATTTATTAGATTTTGGTTAAGTGATTTAATTTTTATTTTTTGTCATGAATGTGGTTATAGTTAATGTTATAGAAATTACCTGAAGCAATAGCCTTAAACAAAATAATTCGAAAGGGTCTGTTTCCTTCTCCGTCACTCCTTTAATCTGCAAGTAACTTGTTAAAGAAGTATGCAATTTTCAGATCATTTGCCACACATAATATGAAAAAAAATGCATTGAGGCGTAAAGCTGACAGTCACTATGCAGTGTTGATTCCTATGTCCACACTACCCCTCTCTGCTTCTCCATACATATATATATATATATATATATATATATATATATATATAAAGAGAGAGAGAGAGGTGGAGGAGGAGGAGGATAGAGAATTAATGGTCCATCTCTATCTTCTATTAATGTCCTATCTCTATCTCCGATAGTGAGCACTCCACTACAAAGCCTGTTTACTTAAATGTCTTTCTGTCAGCAAACCACTGAAAAATCAGCAACTTGGGCTTCAAAGTCTCTTAAATTCCCACACTATATATATATATATATATATATATATATATATTGAATACGACAGACAAGGTGATGCTTTGATTTAATACTATTTTTTTTCTTTTCGGATGATAAATTATATAAAATATATATATTTATAAAGAATGTCATCCAAAAAGAAAAAAAATTATTAGATCACATGAGAAATCGATAAAAAAAAACTAAATCAAAGCACCTTGTCTGTCGTATTCAATGAAATGTGCATGAAAGAAGGATTGCTGCCTAAATACACACACACACACACACATATATATATATATCTGTCTGAGTGTGGGGGTATGTGTGTGGCCTGACGATTGCGTCCACCATGAAACAACCTGTCGCCTCTGAGTGTTGACTTTATTTATTTATATATATTTATATATATATATATATATATATATATATATATATATATATATATATATATATATATATATATATAATTACGACGTTCGTCTATATACAAGGCAGATTCTCATTTGTTCCCAGCTATTATAGCAGTGAACAAATGAGAATCGAGCCACTAAGTACTGAATTGTTCTACGAGATAAGTCTGCTAATCATCGCCATAATAGATAAGTATGAATATGTGATATATCGATAGACTCACAAATAAATAGATATATAGAAAGGCATGATATCCCTACCACTCTGTTATTTGTGGGCATTTGTGAACATGTGTGCGTGTGTGAGAGAGAGAGAACTTTCTCGATCTAAGGTCACGTGTCTGCTTCCTGAAGTGCAGGCAACCTTTTGTTACTCGGGCCGATTACCTAGCTAACTACACCTAAACAACCACTTCTGTTATGTCTATCATCATCATCATCATCATCATCAACAGAACTAGCAGTAAGTGCTGTCTAATCGCCTCCCCTACCCTTGTCCCCCCGGGGAATGCCACAGATACCCGTCTGAAGGTGGAAACGAAGAAGAAAAAAATTGTCTAAGCAAAAAACACGAAGATATGGTGGGTGGGTGCAGAGAGAACAGATAGACGAGAAAGAAAAAAAAGAGAGAAAGAGTATAATGAAATGAGTGAGAGAGGGAGAAAGAGACCAGGGAGATGGAGGAGGAAAAATCAAAAAGAAGACATATGAACGAATAAACGAAGATGGAAATAGAGAATCGAGAAATCTTTCGCCCCCACCCTCTCTCTCTCTCTCTCTCTTTCTCTCTCTCTCTTTCTCCCTCCCCCATCTCCCTCTCTCTCTCTCTCTGACGTCATACATACCACCGTTTTCACCGACGCGATTAGTTAGGCTTTCTACTTAAAAAATGTTTCGGTTGTGTTGTTAGAACGAGAGAAAAGAATCCAAAGAAAGAAAGGTAAACCGCGCAGATGCTACATTCTTCTAACTTTTAACATGCTCTGTTGTGCATGGATCTATTTTCCACTGCCGAATGGAATGCCAGGGTAGGGATTTGTTCGCTGCCTCAACACACACACACACACACACACACACATATATATATATATATATATATATATTTATATATATATATATATATATATATATATATATATATATATATATATATATGAGGCTGATGCAAAAGTTTGCAGCAATTCTGTCAAAATCTTTAGCCCTGCATAGCGGCCAGTCTAGGAGAAGGAAAACGCTAAATTCAAAACTCGCTGAGAAAGCGGCGGGATGGTCTGGTGCCCCAGCTGTTCATCTCGAGGTTCTTGACAAAATCCAAAGAAGGATCAGCAATGCAATCGATCCTGACTTGGCATCGAGACATCAGTCGGTTTCTCGTCGATATGGCGTGGCCTCCCTCTGTCTTTTCTACAAATATTTTCAGGGTACCTGCTTTGACGAACATGAATTTAAGCGTACTTCTAAATTAGCATCTAGATCCAACTCTTTTACTGTTGAAATAGCTAAATGCAACCGCCACTTCTATTTCAACAGTTTCTTTTCTCGCACTTCAAGCCTGTGGAATCCCCTTTCCAATTTCTTGCTTCCCCAATAACTACAATCTTCAAAAGTTTAAATGCAACGCCATCGCCATCTGTCTTTTTTGGACTCTATTCCTTTTCTGCCCTTTCCTCAATCCTCCCTATTCTCAATGTTCTTTTTAACTTTCCCGTTTACTCCCTGTAACCCCCTACGTACTAGTGGTATCACCGGGTGAAGTGATTAAAAAAAACATAATAGAAGGATTGCGATTTGCATTCGAGAATGTTTTCGATATCTTAAAATTATTATAATTTGTAATCGGATTAAGTGTGTAGTATTTTTTAGTTTAAGGTCAGACACTATTATACGGCAAAACTGCGGGTTAAATTCTCCAAAAAAATATTTTCTCTTTGAATCTGTTCTTCAAAAAAGCCAATTGCTCACTGCAGCGTTTTTCAGTAACTGTCTCTTCAGTTTCTCACAATTCCTAATAAAGAATTCACTTGAAATCACATTTAAACATGAAAAATAATTTTAACCTGGAAATTCATTTTGGGTTACGTTTAGATGGATTTTCTTCGTTTCCAATTCTATAAGAAATTTTATTTCTAGTTCCTTTTTTCTGTATCAAGAAAAAAGGGAAAGGCAAATATTTAATCACTAACTGATGTTTCTTCAACTAAGTTCACATAGTATCCATTTTCTTTTTGCAAATTGTTGATAAAGATTGCAAACGACGTACTAAAACTGACTAATTGCACAAGCCCTTATGAAGTAAGTAAACGTTAGTAACATTTTTATGATTTCCCTAATACTGCATAAGATATGGTGCTGGGAATCTTTGTATTAAATAAATATATGTTCTTGCATTTGTAATATGTTTGTACGTGTTTATATGTATATGTATATATGGGCGCTTTGCCGAGTAATTAGCATATTTGCTTTCCGATCATGTGACCCAAGTTCGAATATTACCATGGGCGATTTGTCTGTGGCGGGGTATTTTTTTAATGCTATCATCCAGAGAAGGCGATCCTAGCGTGTGGCGACTTTGGAAAGTGACTAAAAAACATACAAAGCTTTATTATTAAAATTGGGTATGCGAAGTTGTTCATCGATCGTTTTGTTAGGACGAAGTCACAAGTCATCGTGACCGAGGATATTGAGCGTACTGATATTGTTGACACTGTTTATTCAAGATTATGCGTTATTTCCCAGAAACTGTAACTAAGGTTTGCTAAGCATAGTTGCAGTATAAACCAAACATGTGTACTATGGCTTTAAAACAAACACAGATATACTATTTACATTATTCGGACTATTGTCCTCATCTTTATCGCCATATTTATTTTAACGTTTCGGTCTTTCAGTATCTGTCTATATTTCTGAGATGAGGTATTATGTACACTATTTACATTATTCGGACTATTGTCCTCATCTTTTTCGCCATATTTATTACAACGTTTCGGCTCTTCAGTATTTGTCTATATTTCTGAGATGAGGTATTATGTACACTATTTACATTATTCGGACTATTGTCCTCATCTTCGTTGCCATATTTATCACAACGTTTATATATAATACCTCATCTCAGAAATATAGACAGGTACTGAAACACAGATATGCCTGAGCAGAAGTCTGCAATAGGGATTGGCTAGTAGCTCTAGCAAACGGGTGTGTTCGGAATGTTTTCGCTAGCCATTATTATATATGTGTAAGTATAGGTGTAAATGTGTGCAAGTCAGTTGGTGGGCAGAAAAATGACACAAACCTTCACAGAAATAAATCTAATGACAACAAATGGTTATTAACAAAAGGATGCGTCAAAAGAGCAAAATGAAAATCGAAGATACCAAAATCAAACCAGTACAAAAAAAAAATTATATATCTAGGAAGTGTTTTAACAGAGGACAGAAAAAGAAATACTGATTTCTGAAGGCATATTGGGATAGCGAAAGATGTTTCCCAAAAGCTAAGCAGAGTAATAAGAAATAGAAAAACTTCACTAGAAAAAAGGAAAAGAGTACTAAATTGTTACGTGATATCTATCTTCCTGTATGGTAGTGAGTGCAAAAGGGACTTGAAGTAACAGAAATGTGGTACTACAGAAGGATGCTGAGGATACCATAGACTGAATATGTGAGCAACAAAGTTTTAGCGAAAATAAAAACAAAAAGGAAACTTACACTTAACATCAGAAAGAGATAGTTGAAATTTCTAGGGCACATAGTGAGGAAAGAAGGCTTGGAAAATGTGATACTCACAGGAAATATTGAAGGCAAGAGGGACAGAGGAAAACGACGCATAACCAACTTAGTGAGCTTGAGTAAATGGATGGCTTAGGAGAAATAACATAAAAACAAAATTTATTAAGAGCAGGAATGGAAGTGGTGGAGAGCCATGATTGCCTACATCATGAGGGGACACATCACATAAAGAAGAATGATGATGAAGTGGAATGATAGATTCTTGCATAAGTGATAAAAATGTATGTCTTTACACATGATTGCACTTATTAAATAAATAGAAAAATAAAAAGAGCAAAATGTGTATTTCCACATCTCCCCCCCCCCATCTATGCTGAACAAATAAGACAAAAACACTTTTTATTTCTATACAGCTGGAAAAATATTTAGTAAAAGCTAGATAATGGATTAATAAAGATCATCGCTATGGTGCCAGAGATCTTAACAGATTATCCGATTTAGTGAGGCATAGCCATTCAACTAAGTCGTAAAATGATATCATACTCGTCATCAAGGTGGTTACCATTGTGCATCTGCGTGTGCTGGTGTGATGCTGCGTTCCTGTACGTCACCACACAAGCTGTAATGACACCTAAGGTTGGCTCCATGCGAATACACACCGGCGCTCGTTATGGTCCACAGATTCGTTTCGATTATGGCCGTGATCACCGTCAACAAAGAAATAACGATAAATGATTTTCCAGGCACTTTTTGGGGCCCGGACGTCGCAAAAAAAAATACGATTTCTCATTTCATTGGCAATGTCTTCTTTCTTTCTCCAACGAGAAAGCGAAGTTCCGGCCACGAAAAAAAAAAAAAAAAAACGCCCCCACACACTCATTGCCTGACCGTTTCACCAACTGCTCACCTTTTCACTGACTGTTCACTTCCCTCCTGACCGCTTCAGTCGCTGTCCCTTCACTCACTGTCCGATTCATTATATAGATATTGGCTGGGGGACCCACCACACCTTTCCGTCCTCATGTATTCCAACTGAAAACAGAGACCACACTGCCAGGTTTTGGGTGGTCAGTCTTTCAAAGGACCTTACTTTTATGGCTATCTAAAAACACTAACAAAACTTTGACAATTCAAAGGTAGGCTGGAGATAGGATTTCTGAAAAATTCTGATTATTAAATTTACTCAAAGATAAGCTGGAGGCAAGATTCCTGAGAAACAGTAGTCATTAAATTGACTTAAAAGGAAAAAGAATGTACCTATTCATCTCTCATCTGTGAGAAATCGTATTGCTACACTGGTAATGATAACAAAATAACACGATAAACAAAAAAGAAAGAAAGAAAAAAGAAAGAATACATACTTTAGGTGATAAATCAAATTTTGAGTTTAAATCTATGATTTAAAAGACTTTAAATCTTATTTTGTATTCGATTAAACTGAATACTATGTACTCTCCAAGAGAGGAGAGTCTTGTTTTTAAATCTTGATTATTCCCAAATTCAAATTGGTCTTTAACACAAGCGAGGAAAAATGACCATAGTTTATCTGTCGTCTAAGATAAAAAGAAATTCTAAACAGAGATATTTACAGAATTCCATTAAATCAATCAAGAGAAGGAAGAATGTGTTACGCCAGTATTCTACAAAGGGAAAATGCCCTGCGTCGAATTTTTTTTTAAAAAATGTTTAAATGCGGACCGCTGGCCCCGGGAAGAAACGGGCAACTATCTCAGCCATCATACAAACTCGACGAGAAAGAAATGTAGAAAGAAGGAATCAGTGAAAAGAAAAAAAGACAGAATAAATAGAAAGAAAGAAAGAAAAAGAAAGAAAGAAAGAAAGAAAGCATTGATATATAGAAAGGAACAAGATAATAAAGAAAAGAAATAAAATCAATGAAAAAAAGAAACAGAGAATGATTGACTCAATTGAAAAACAATAAAATGAAATCAATGAAAAGAAAGAAAATAAAACAATAGCAAGAAAGAAAGAAAGAAAGAAAGAAAGAAAGAAAGAAAGAAAGAAAAAAAAAGAAAAAAGAAATAAAGAAAAAAGGAAAAAGAAAGAATGGTGAGAAAACGTATGTAAGGAGAAAACTATTTTCTTTACATGCATTTAGACATGTATACCGTAATAGCTTTACACAATAATCTATGCAAAGTATGAAATTCTGGCATAAATGAAGGCGGGTATTTCTACGCATGCGTATACCTACATTCTGGTCGATATACGCTTGGATGTGTCTCTCTGTTGAGAACCCTTATGAATTTGTATGTGCGTATTTCTACATCCGTGTGTATGCGCCAGGAATTGAGGCATCTTTACATGTACTTTTTGAAGTGATTAGACAAAGGCTGGTTCGTTGATGTTGATCTGAAAATATTTCTTTTTCTTTATATTTTACTTTTTCAGCACAAGCGTAGTTCTTTGGAAATCTGCCTCATAAGAAAAACTGTTCCGAATTCATGCCAATACTCTGCTAGATCTTGACACCGTCTAAAATAAAAACAGTAATATATGTAAACAATTGGTTGTGTATCAATTAAAAATATAAGGTTTAGAGACGATACTTGGTAACCGGTTGCTTTATTGATGATAGTCTTCGAATCTCACAGCAGCCGTGTTTTTCTCCGATTCTGCTAACTCATGACAATTTGAAAGCAGCAGTATCAGGATGAAAGAAATGTTAAAAAATAGAATAACTATCCTATATTTTGACATCGCTTGATATAAGAGATCTTCAACAACAAAAACAGGTTGCACGTGCAACTAGAAGAGAAAATAATTGTATAATCCAACGGTTAACTTTGCACAGTACCAAAAAAAATGTTTGGAAGAAAGCTCCCATCAGTACTAAGTAGGCATCTGTTAAACTCGCGAGGTAATGGCGGCGCCCTGTTTGGTTCAAATTCAGTCCTTTTGGGGGTGAGACTGGAGTGATCTCTTCAAAGCGCGGGCCTTGGCGATGGTATATGGTGGCCGTTCGCTGTCTAGACTACATGCCCACCTCTTGGCCGTACTGACAAGATCCAAAGGAATACAAGGCATTACATTTTCGGACAGCTTGACTGCAGGAGTTGCCGGAAAGATGTCAATGTTGACAGACAAACACATTCAGGTTTTCTGTCTGGATTTACTTCTATGGCCTTTTTCCTCGTTTGGATATGACCGCAAGGCAGCGGAGCTTTAAAATCAGGTTTTTCTTTTCCTTAGATGGACTGCCTTTATGGGCTGTCGAGCTCCATCCACACGAAGCATCTGTTTATGAGGTTCCAGTCGTCCACCTTCGTCCATTCTCCGGCTTGGAGCTGAACTTATTCTCAGAGGCTGTTTGAAACGCATGTCACGAAAACATTTTACAGATAATAGGAACCTGTCCCCATTCTCATCCCACTATCCCTATAATAACCTTTGGAACATATATAATGTACGTATATAAACATTATATATCTTACGTGTTTTATAAGGTCCCAAAAATTAATGTTTTTTCAATATAGAAAATATTAGACTATTTACATTATTCGGACTATTGTCCTCATCTTTGTCGACATATTTATTACAACGACATATTTATTACAACGACATATTTATTACAACGACATATTTATTACAACGTTGGATCCAGTCACTGGATCTAACTAACGCCTTTATCCACTGTACCATGTGTCCTCAAGGACACATGGTACAGTGGGGAGGGGAATTAACAGGAAATAACTGATAACTGACATCCATTGGAGAGTACAACGGCCGAAACGCTGTGATAAATATGGCAACAAAGATGGGGATGATAGTCCGAACAATGTAAATAGTATATTTAAATTGTTGGGTGTTAAGGTGTTAGATCCAGTGTCAGGACCCAAAGAGTGTGAGTTCAATACCTTGTTAAGGCGGTGGAGAACTTGGAGAGGGAATTAAGCAGAAAATAACTGATAACTGAGATCCAGTAGACATGGTACGTGGAACTAGAACAGTCTACCCCAGTGATCGAAATAATAAAGGGTTCAGTTCGACATTCCAACCACCTGAAGAAGGTTGGAGCGTACAACGGCCGAAACGTTGTACTAAATATGGCGACAAAGATGAGGACAATAGTCCGAATAATCTAAATAGTATACATAATACCTCATTTCTGAAATATAGACAGATACTGAAGGACAAAATGTTGTAATAAATATGGCAACAAAGATGAGGACATTAGTCCGAATAATGTAAATAGTGTACATAATACCTCATCTCAGAAATATAGACAAATAAAGAAAATATTAGATAAACAAAAATACTAGAAAAAAGGACAAATTAAGAAATAGTAGATAAATAGACAAACACAAATATCGAAAAGTTTGTTAATTTTGTCAAAAGATAGCAGAAACAAAAAAAAATAAAAATATAAATCGAGATTTAAGTGTGAAATAATGGGAGATTATGCAATAAAATAATTTATACTCCCTTTTTGAAAGTACGAACCCACAAACTATCAATTGATTAAAAAAGGAACGAAAGTACAAAATGTAAAGTTGATAAATTTAACTTTAGGTAAACAGAAACAAAAAGTAAAAATCTTGACAAATGATCTTCTGGTTAGTTGAACAAAAACAAATAAATATTAAAACGGAAAACCCGGTAAACGTGGAAAAATTTGAAACAATAATAATAATAAACAATACATATATAACTCAAATATATATATATATATATATATATATATATATATATATATATATATATATATATATATATATAAAAAAAGAAATAATAATTGCGAATTATATTAAATTATATTAATTTTAAACAATATTTCCTTTTTTTCAGTTAAACTTAAAATCTGTTAATTTTTGTTGCTTCGAGAAAATTCGTCAATACTAAAAAAAAAAAACATTGATAACAGTGGAATTGAGTTGCCTAATTTACTGAAAAACCGATATAAGAAAAAGATTTTATAAATTTCAATCGACAATAATGCTAATTGTTTGTTCAATGCAAACTGAACGATTAATTTCATTGTTAGCATTATTATTTGTAGATGTCTTGCAGTATTTGTTTTATACGATAGTATTTTTTCTTTTCAAAGAGAATTTTATTTTTAAGACAGCTCACTAAAATCACTAATATTGTGTCACATTTTGCTATTGGGCAGTAAAAATTATATTATGTCCTTATTAAAAGTATATTATTTCCTTTCTAAAATTATATTATGTCCATATTAAAAGTATATTATGTCCTTACTGAAACAGCTAAGAATATATGATGCGATCAAAGAAAAAATACTGAGAGATATAATATGATTTGAATGATTGTAATCGAAATATCTTCGTAGCACAATCGAGAAGGAAGCTGCCATGTTCAGACAAGTTCCCTGAGGTAGAAGGATGCGAGCTGTGGTCACGCCAGAAGTTTCTTTTCTTTTTTTTTTTTCTATTCGTTTTGTTTATTTCGGGTCACAAAACGACAATCTGGGAGTTATGATGATGAGCAACTATAATTTTAAAAAAATAATAATAATTTAAGAAATTTAAAATAATATTAAATATTACATCTTTTGTATTGTGTAAAATATTAATGAATCTCTTTTTCATTTTTATTCGGTTATTACTTACAAATTATTTACAATGTGTCATCTAGTGTTTATCATATTTATTTTTGAACTCATTGATACATGGTCCAGTTGTAAAGGAGTAAATATATTAAAATCTGAGATCACACCTACCAATTAAATTGAAATATCATCCATTAAACGTATTTAATGAAGTCAAACGAGGTTTTCTGCGTCAGGCAACTCGTTCCCCATTTTTTCTCTCACTCTCTCTTTTTTCTTCTCAAAAGGGATTTTCTTAAACCGCCTTTTTTACGTTTTCCGGTATAAAACCTGAAAAATTGATTTTCCTTCAAGATAATGCCTCATAAACATCATTTACGACTATATTTGCTTAAAAGTGTTTTATTTAAAGGAATCGAGAAAACAACGTGGGTTTGGTTAGAGGCTCAAAACTGGCAACTTTCCATCTTTTGAGAGATTTTCAAAAGAGTTTATTTAGACTAAGTCCCTTATATATCGTTTTACGAGATCATAAATGTGTCATTAATGTTCTAAAAAACTAATCAAAACAAATTGACTACAACTAAGGTTCATTTCGAAAGGAAATATTACTTATATAGAGAGAATATTTACTGTGTATATCTAAATCATTTTTTTTTCTCAATACATTTTCTAGATTTGCCTTTGAAGAAGTTCCTCAAGGAAGGAAACACGTCGGCATAAAAAGGTTTTCCTCGTCATGTTTTTAAACATGCCGACAAAAATGGCGGAGTAAATAAAAATACATATTTTGTGAAGTTCCTCGGTTCCAATCTGGTGAGTATGAATGCTAAAAAGGGGAGGCAAATCTGTAGATAAATCCTGCAAAGGTATGTTGGGATTTCTTCTTAGTCAATAAAAATGGACAATTCTTCGACTTAGCCACACATTTTTCTTTCTTGTTTTGAATTCAGAAGCCTAAATCAACTTGACTGTATCCCGTTCGCGTATTAAAACTATTTCTTTTATTTTACTGTCTTATAATTGCTTTACTTTGCTATTGCCTTACACTTGCCTTGTATTCAATGACGTGCAGAGGTTTAGTGATACCCGGGGCCACCTCCTTGATTGTATGCCCCCAAAACTTAAGTAGGGGGTGGCTACTCCGGTCTCGCTTATCAAAAAATCCACATTTACACCAGCTTGTATGACTGTAGGGCGCTTGTACAATTAAGTTAACAGAGATAATTTCAAATTTTAAAAACTAAAATTTTATTTATTTTGTGACGTACGGTGGCCGTTAATAATTAAGTATAACTCAAGACTTCAATGTTAAGATAAAACAGTATAAAATTACAACCGCAAATAAATACTTAGCAAGAACAAAGAAGTAAAAGTCAACGAAAGATAATTAACCATTTCAGTGAATATCTTGTTAATAGCGCGGTGAATTCGAAATCAAAACCCAAATCATCGATGCACAATAATTCACACCAATTCGACTCGATAGTGCCACTCAATAATGACTCAATAATCACTGCAGTCAGTAGCCTGACACCGCTATTTATACACCTGGCGGAAAACATATATTCATAAATCCAGA